TCCTACATGTCCACGTTGAGCCTTGTCCCTGATGTGAGCATTGAGCACTCAGGAGTTGGCTGCACTGGGGGCAGAGAAGGGCAACTGTCCCATCGTGCCCGTACCTGGGTGGTGGGACCAGAGTGGCTGTGCCCAGCTGTGGGCTGCCTGGCCGGTGATGCTGCCTGGTGGCTTTTCTGGTTGTTGTTTCTAGGCGAGGTTTGCAAAAGGTCACCAGAATTAATCTTCTAACTGGGGACCTTGGCACTGTGCAGGATGAATGTTTTGCATTAACAACCTAACTCGTTAATTCACTGAAACATTTAAAACCAAACCAGTTACATCCAGCCAAGCTGGAAAAAGCTGAAAATTCATACTCAGCAGTGCAGATTTCGAAACCTCCCTTTGTTAATCTCTGCAGAAGTAAATTTTCTGAAATTGCTAAGCTCACTTTGACTGCTCTCGGCATTGTTTTCCTCAGCGGAAGCAAAGCTACTCTGCAGAGGCTAGCGGTGTGTGCCTGGACCCGCTGACGGGGATGGGAAGGCTCCTGTGCTGGGAAGGAAGGAGCGTTGGTACAGGGACTTTGCAAGAGGGGAATGCTCACAGCATTGTAGGTTTTGGGCTGTCTCTGACAGAAATGCTGCTTTGTTTTCGTAGGTTGGGACCCCAGATTTAACAGTTTCCATCTTCCTCCTCTATTATGATTTTCTGAATTGCTAGGGGGACTTGAAATCACAGTCTGGCATGTCTTACGGTGCTGCTTGTACTTGTTGGTAAGCTGGAGGTGGGTCACTGGCATGGGGCCCTTGTGGGTCTCCTACATAGAGGAGCGATGGGCAGACCTGGGCGGTGCAGGAGCCTGCAGTTCCCCTGCCCGTGTCACTGGCTCGGGGTACAGGGCTTGCCTCTTCTGAGCCACAACCCTTGAGAAACTGAAGGGTGGCCACCAACCTGGCCATCCCTGTGGACACAACGTGGTGACAACAGCGTAAAACTGCATTTACCAGTGGAGGAAGCTTTCCCGTGGTGATCTTTTTCATAGAATCATAGAATGGTTTGGGTTGGAAGGGGCCTTAAAGATCATCTATTTCCAACCCCCCTGCCATGGTCAGGAAGTTGGGAGCTGTGTGGACAAGCATTCGTGGCTCTATGTCCAGGATGGGGAATGACAGCCCAACCCAAGCTGTTCCCCAGGGTTCGTGCCTGCCATGTGCGAAGGCTGGGCTGCTCTGCCCTGTCACGCACACGGCGCGCGCACAGTTGTCTCGTTGTCCTGTGCGCAAACATGCATCAGCCCCAGATTCAGTTCCTGATGCTTTTAGATACGAGAGGAACGTACCTCCAGCCACGTGCTGGGCTGGGATCCGACCTGGCCGAGGGAGCCAGTGGGCTGCCTTTCCTTCCAGCATTAGCTTCTCTGGGAGCATCACTGGGACGGAATCGGTTTGACTCTGCTTTGAGTCAGTTTTCCCTCAAATTTCCAGCAGCAGGGGCAGTTTTAGGTGCACAAGTATTTGACTTGCTTACTCAGCTACCTCACTATTAAATCAGCAGGTATAAATTAAATAGGAACTGTGAATTTAAGTCCAATCCCTTTGTCTTCCTGGCTGTTAGGTAGCTATTCCATTCAGCTAATGTCTCTTTGCTCCAGTTCATCATAAAATTATATATAGGAAACCAAATTCTTCACGCACAGCTGTATGAACTGGTCTGAGACATTCCCAGTGGTGGTATACTGAGGGCAGGTTGCAGGGCTGGTTTTTAATTGATTAATTTTTCTGCCATTAATTTACCCTATCCACTAAAACAGCCTCATTTACTTTAATGACAGAGAAATCGGTGAATTATCCGTTCTGTTATATATTAGTGGTGTATTAAAGTATTAGTACGTTCCAGGAGGTGAGCAGTGAATAAAACATGCTCCGAACATGTGGTTATGCAACTGTTCCATGGAAATGAAACGGACAAACAGTACACTTGATTAAATATTTTTTTCCCCAGTAAATTGGCACTGTGATTCACTTCCAGCTAAATTTGCAATCTGTGTTCTGAGGTGGCATTAATATTGGAGCCCCAGCAGGAGAGCTGTGGTGGCTGGGGCTGCTTTGATTGCGATTTTAACGAAAGTTGTTGGAGAGAGCACGGAGCTGGATGCAAATGTGCTGGTAAATTAAATGCAGAGCTTTTAGGTTCTCCATAGGTGGGTCAGACCATTCACATTTACTCAAAATAATAGTGACGACGTGCTAGGGAGAGGCTCTCCGCTAACGTGGCACAATGGGGGTCTTTGTGTATCTCTGTTGCTCTGTATCAAATTTACTCTGTTGACAGATAAAAATCATCTTTTTGATACCTGGCGACTCCATAAACACCAGGTAAGATCCGTCTGGGACTCCAGCTGTCTCCATAATGGAGACTGTGGAACTGGATCTCTATCAGGAGTTTGCTGGAAACGTAAAAGCTTGCAGAGGACCCAGCAGTTTCTCCCCAACCTGTGGTAGAGCTGCAGAATAAAATGAAGTAAGAATTCACTTTTACTGTTGCTTCCCTGACACGAAACTCCTTTCAGCCTTTAAAGCTATATTTTGTAGCCTTCAGGCTGGTCTTACTGCTTTTCTCCTAATTGACTCGACTTGGAAAGGTCATCGCACCCTGTTAGATTGTGTAATATTTAACTTAGCATCAAAAATGAGGATCCTGGGATTGGTGTCAAATGGATGCTGTGCCCTGCTGAATAGCAAAGCCCATTCATAGTCATCCAAGTATTCGACTTGCTAATGCTGATGAATAACTTTCTGGCCCTCTGCAGAGGGAAGGACTAACCACGAAAAGGTGGGATGAGGATGGCATAAAGCAGGTATTGAAAGTGTGCAATTTGCACCATCTAAATCTGGATCTCAGCTTTAATACCTTTTTTATTTATAGAGAGATTTTTTTTAAAGTTATAATTTCTAGCTTTTCATGAAGCTTCAGCATAGCAAACAGTCTTTTCTGATGCCAAGTTCGGTGATGACTAACGCTATTTACAGGACTGTTTTGTAATCTCAGATCAGCCCACATTAACGGGAAGTTACGTTTTCCCCTCAGTCTCTTAAATGGTGCCTGAGAGCTGCTGAGGCCACAGTCGACCATCTAGGCTCTCCTGTTCGGAAAAAATGATGTCAGCTTTCAGAACAATCTAAAAAAAAAAATTCTGATGAAGTTAGGGAGGTCGAATTGTGCTTCCTCCATTTGATTTTTGCATTAGGACCTTACATTCCTCTGTTCGAAAAGCCACTGACAAAAATAAGCAGAGGGGGTATTGCATAAGCACCACGAAGTCATTTGCCCGATCTGCATTTCTCGGTGCATGAGATCAGCTCAGAATATCCGATATGAGAAAGCTGCTGGTGCACAACTGCTGTAGCTGATAGGAGTTACCTCTGTGAGTCATCTAGTAGGATGGTAAGTTGGTGGGTTTTCTTTTTTTTTTTTAAGTTCAAATTTTTATGAGTATTTTTATAAAGCGCTGTCTCTATTACTGTAAATCCCAGGAAAATCTGGCACAGAGTCTTTGTAATATGAATCAGTGTGTCCATATGCTTCCAAGTGACCTTGCAATCTGGAAAAACACCATTTTATCCCTGTGTTTAAAAGAAAAAAAGCAGAGTTGCTGTAAAAAAGGTTCATGTAGGGGTTAAGGCAGTTGCTCCCTCAGAAGTGCTGCCTTGCCTGTCATCTGGACTCGTCACCAGGCAAGTGACTCCCGGTGCCAGCTGCAGCAGACAGCCTTCCTGCCCTCGGCTCGTGATCTCGGGCACGGAGCGTCCGCTGCGCAGATGGCAAAGCTACGCCAGACCGGGAATAAGGTTGTGGCTAATGCCTCAGTCTTCCACAGGCTGGAGCAGTTTGGGAACTGCTTTACCTTCAGGAAGAGAAAAGGAAAAAGTATTCTCTTTCTTTTTTTTTTTTTTTTTATGACAGATCTCTGGACACCCCAAGCCCAGAAAAACGGGCTTGAGTTGCAGAGAAATTACACTTTCTTAGGAAATACCACCGATGCACTGAGTTGTATGAATGCTGAAAGCTGCAAAGGTGGTGGGAGGGGAAGGCTGGGCGCCAGGAACATGTGTGTGATGCTGCACTTGTGTTTTGGGGCCTTACCTTCTCTTGCAGCTCCAGCCAAAGACTCAACAGATGCTCTTAAAACAGTAAGGAAGTGTGCACAGGGTGGGGAGGGAATCTCACTAACGCTTTGCGGGCTTGCTGAGCGAGGAGGGCTAAAATACGTGGCCCTGGCTGCAGCCTCCTTGCTGCCTGCAGCAGAGCTCCAGGCGTCTCTGCGGGCAGAGGCCCTTGGCACAGGCACGGTGCTTTGAGCTGGAGAGAAACTTCCCAACAGGACGGTTGGAAAATGCTGATTTTGAAGAAATCTAAATGTTCTGTGGTGAACGTGTCGATTTTTTGTATGGGTTTTTCTGGTGGAAAGCAAGTGGCTTTCTCAGGGTAACCCTGGCATTGCCTCCTGCACGCCATTGACCTGGGAGCCCGGGCACGCAGGGAGCCCTGGCACCACTCTCCCTGTCGAAATACTGGTGATGGGTCTTGACAGGGCAAGGCGAGGGGAAGCTTCGACGTTTTTCCTCCTCGGATGAGAATTTCATGCAGGCTGTAAAAGAGGCATGTTTGTGTGTTTGTTTTTTAAATAGGTAATTAATGGATTGTATATGTGAAAATATGGTAAATCCATGGTCAAGTTAAATGTTTCCAGCGAAAGAGACTGAAAATGATTTATTGAGTGAAACAGTTAAATACCAGGACAGTCGTGCTTTGTCTAATGCCAAAGGAACTAACCTCTCCTCCCTCTCCTTGTCCTCAGGTTCAGTGCCAAATATGAACATTTGTCAGCATTTGACAAGAACTCCTTGGGACATAATGAATTTGCTGGAATCTAGACCACAGAGCACTTGCAATAGCGCTTTTTAAATTTTAATTTAATTTAAATGAAAGAAAAATAATCATCTGGATTAACTGTAGTGATGGCTAGCAAAAGAAAATCCACAACTCCCTGCATGATACCAGTAAAAACACTGGTGCTTCAGGAGACTGAACTGGACGCTGTAGAAGGTGATCGTGAAGCAGCAACGCAACAAGACACCCCTGTGGAAGGGCCAGCAGCAAGTGATGCTGGTGCCAGTAATAACGGAGCTTTGTCTAATGGGCACCGCGGTATTGCCGATAGTGACACTTACATCTGCAAGTCTTGTGACTTTGGATCTCAAGACGTTCATCACTTCTTTGGGCACCTGGACTCTGAGCACTTGGACTTTAGCAAAGACCCTGCGTTTGCGTGTGTTGCGTGCAACTTCCTGGCAAATAGCCATGAAGGGCTCACGCAGCACAATGCGGAGTCACACGCTGGTGAAACGAGCTTCATCTGGAGGGTGGCGAAGCAAGACAATCGTACGACTGTGGAGCAAAGTCTCTGTGAGGCTGCCGGCAGCCATGACCTCCCAGGAGAGGTCCCTGAAGAAGGGGTGGACAGCCAGTCTGAAATTATCATTACCAAAACCCCCATCATGAAGATAATGAAAGGTAAACCGGAGGCCAAAAAAATCCACACACTGAAGGAGAACGTGTCAAGTCAGTTGGGCAGTGAGTCGGAGGTAAAAGATGGAGAGCATTCATTCCCAAATGGATCCGTGCCAGTCAGCCAGCCTGCTGCAAGTTCGACAAAATCATCTCATATAGTGAATGGCTCCATCATAGGAAACGTGCCCGTTCTGCAGGCGGGTGTTGCACAACTTGTGTCACTGCAGCAGCAACCCCCCTTGCATCAGCAGCTACCTACGTCCAAGTCCCTTCCCAAGGTGATGATCCCCCTGAGCAGCATTCCAACGTACAATGCTGCCATGGACTCCAACAGCTTCCTCAAAAACTCTTTCCACAAGTTTCCCTACCCCACAAAAGCCGAGCTCTGCTACTTGACTGTGGTGACAAAGTACCCAGAAGAGCAGCTGAAGATCTGGTTCACTGCCCAGAGATTGAAGCAGGGCATCAGCTGGTCACCGGAGGAGATCGAAGATGCCAGGAAGAAGATGTTCAACACCGTTATTCAGTCTGTGCCACAACCCACCATTACAGTTTTGAACACGCCGCTGGTTGCAAATCCTGGGACCGTCCCTCATCTTATCCAGGCCACTTTACCGGGCCATGTGGTGGGGCAGCCGGAGGGGACAGGGGGCCTGCTGGTCACGCAGCCCATCATGGCAAATGGGTTGAAGGGCACCAGCTCCTCCTTCGCCTTGGCGGTGACTTCTGTCCCCAAGCCGCAGCCAGCACGGTGAGCTCCGGCAGCGCGTCGGGGGTGAAGGTGGTCAACAGCGGCCAGTCGCTGCTCACCGCCTGCCCAGCGATCTCCTCGCAGACCTTCCTGGATCCCAACGTCTACAAAAACAAGAAGTCCCACGAGCAGCTCTCGGCCTTGAAGGGCAGCTTCTGCAGGAACCAGTTCCCCGGCCAGGCCGAAGTTGAGCGGCTGACGAAAATCACGGGCCTTTCCACCAAGGAGATTCGGAAATGGTTCAGCGATAGGAGGTACCACTACAGGAACGTGAGAGGCGGCCGCGCCGTCTTCCCTGGAGACAGCGCTCTGGATTCCCTGCCCGAAATCGCCTTCGACGTCTCG